TATACTCTGATTCACAAGTGTAATCAACCACTATCTCCTACTTGGAACTCTTCCAAGTGATTGCTCCCCTGTTTAGGGTAAAGACCCAGCCCGACTGAGAGCGGAAATTATCCCTATCAGTTTGGAAACCAACATCACTATACCCAAAAACTCTCAAGTCATCACTCCCACCGAGGGACAGGACCCAGTCCTTAGTCCTCCGTAGGTACTTGAGGATATTCTTTACTACAGTCCAGGTGCCTTGCCAGGGTTCCCTTGATACCTGCTAACCATGCTCAAAGCAAAGGCTACATCAGGTTGACTACATGTCATGGCATACATGACCGATCCCACAGCCAAAACATAAGGTACTCGACTCATTTCTGCTATCTCACGCTCAGTACTCAAGTTGTGAGTCTTGCTCAATCTGACATTACACTGAATAGGTAACTCTCTTTTCTTGGAGCCCTGCATGTTGAATCTCTTCAATACCTTATCCAAGTAGGTACTCTAACTAATTCCTATTAGTCTTTTACTCTGGTCTCTCAAGATCCTTTTCCTTAGAATATAGGCAACTTCTCCTAGGTCGTTCATAGAGAAACACATCCCAAGCCAGGACTTAACTTCCTGTAGAGTTGGATGTCATTTCCTATGAGTAGTATGTCCTCCACATACAATACCAAAAAGCTAACTATACTCCCACTAGCCTTGACATATACACAAGATTCATCTTCACACCTAGAAAAGCCAAACTCTTTGACTTCTCATCAAACCAAAGATTCCATCTGCGAGGTGCTTGCTTTAATCCTTAAATGGATTTCTCAAGCTTACACACTCTATTAGGGTACTCTGTATTGACAAAACCCTCTGGCTGAGTCATGAAATGCATCTATGGCTAACATAACCCTAATAGAGTTAATCTTGGCTACTATATAAAAGGTCTCATCATAATCAACTCCCGGAGTTTAAGAGAAGACCTTTGCAACTAGTCGTGCCTTATAAGTGTGTACATTACCACCCATGTCGATCTTCTTCTTGAAGATCCATTTGCACCCTACAGTCTTACGACCTAGTACATTCTCAACCAATTTCCAAACTTGATTGTCATACATGGACTGTATCTCGCTATCCATTGCCTCTTTCTACTTGGTTGACTCAGGGCCTTCCATGGCTTCCGCGTAACTTTTAGGTTCATCCAGCCCTACTAGTGTCTCTTCACTAATAAGTGTATCACCTTCCACATTAATATGGAATCCATAGTAATGCTCAGGTGCATTCCAAACTCTCGTGGAATGCCTCATAGGTACAGACTCATCAATTGGCTCAACAGGAGTTTCCTCTCATAATGAGTTCTAGGGTTTTGAAGTTCCTCCCACTTGACTCTTGAATTTCTTCAAGGTCTACTTGCATCCCACTGTTTCCTTGGCTTATGAACTCTCTTGCTCGAAAGACAACCCTCCTAGCTACAAAGACCACATTCTTACTAGGTCTGTAGAAGAGGTAACCAAAGTATTTATGTGGGTAGCCGATTAAAATACACCTCTCACTTCGAGGTTCGATATTATCATGAGTCTTGCATCTCACGAAATCCTCGCAAACCCAAATCTTGATGCGGTCTAGTTTGGGTACTTTACTAATCCACATCTCATGTGGAGTTTTGGCAACTTTCATTGTAGGGACTAGATTAAGGATATGGGCAGGCGACAGTCTCTAA